GGGGGCGCGGGGGGGGCGGGGGGGGCGGGGCATAATAATTCTCAGAAAAAAGCCAATAAAACGCAGCGTGGCTTATGGTTCAACACTACCCTGAGTATGTGACCAGTAAAAGAGACGAATTCCTGCACACAAACGTCAGGATATATCCTGAACTCTAAGAAAGAAATATGTCAACAACAGCTGTAGCCCAGCCTTTACAATGCTGCCGACACATTTCAGCTCGAACAGGAGGAACGTGTTCAACTTGGGTTATAACATGTTGCCATCTGGTGGCCAAGTTTTGTTCCGACTAAAAAAAATGTCTAAAAAAAACTTAAAAATTTTTTAAAATTATTTATTATTTTATTTTATTAATAATTATCTTAATGATTTAATTTAAATAATATTATTTCAACACATACACCATACATTTCTCAAAGTTTTCACGGAACTGTGTCCCATTTAGAGGAGACGCTCCAGGTCGGCAGGTCATCCGTTCAGTCTAAGGTACTGGCTCTCAAACTTAATTAGTTATTTTAATGAGCTAATAAAAAGACAAATATTCCTATTAGGGATAATTGTCTCCTATAATTGTCTGCTATACTTTATGCCATTAAAATATTATACAAATAATTTTGATGCTCATCAAGTTCAACCACCAGGTGTCATTGGTTCAAACAAGTTGTAATAAATTATTATTATAAATAATAATAATAATAATCATATTTATGTTTTTTATTATTGTTGTTGTTGTTGTTGTACACCAACCGATGCTTCTTTCTTACGTCAAAACATTCAGTCTGGTGTTCGACAATGTATGTAATATTTATTTTTTAGAAAATCATTCCTGATTTTATTTGTAGCAACATAAATAGACAAATCGCTCGTTTGTAGCGTCCTACCTCGCATTTGGTCTGCGTTCCTACGGCAACCAAGCATAGCTTGCCCGAAGAGGATCATGGGAAATCATTTTGGCTACGGGAGCGGAGGGAGTTTCGAACAATTTTCCTCGTAGCTTTAGTCAAACAGACATTATCTACGGTATGTTAGGCTTTTATTGTCCACCTGAGCGTAACGTTTGAATATAATTATAATATTCACCAATTACAAACGACGAAAGCTTCGGGAATATTCCTTTTCTTCGCAGAAAACGACTAGCTAGGTTGCTAATGTGACAGTCAACGGTGTTGTAGCAGCAACAAAAACAATCACAACATGGCGCAAAGGGTCGCAAATGTCGACTCTGTATCTAAGTAGACGGTTTAACACGTTAACGTACTGAAACGGTTCGTTGTGTCGCTGGATTTATCACATACAGCCAGGAGCTGATGCTGTCCTCAAACCATGGAGCTACAACTGGAGGTTGTCTTGTCGTCCAGTATCAAGAGGAAGAAACCGTGGCCGCGGTTCTGCTGGCTGGGTCAGGTAAGGAGAAAAGCAGTGGATTAAACACACACTCTGATGTTAACCGAGGTTATTTTTGATTCATAATAAACGATGTCTTCTGTTTTTAAAGACTTTCTAAAAGGTTAATTATGAATCAAAACGTATAAAACCTGATCATTAACTTTAAACTTTATTTAAAATAAATGAAGGAGAATGAATGAATGTGGATTTTATTTCAAAACAAAAAATTACAACTGATATTCTTCACCTTTTGAATAATCCAGACATGACTTGTTATGCTAGCAGCTTGATGCAGCTAAATTACATGTTATTATACTGTACTATAACAGCGTTAGACGGGAAGTGTCAACATTTGTCAACATCAATAATAACAGGCAGATTGATGGTATTATCATGTATGTCGTCTCCTCAGGAGAAGGAGTCTGTGTTCCTGTTAGATGACAAACGCATCAGTGAGATCAACATGGTCTCTGGACGGACGAAGAAGAGGACGCCTAAACTCCACCCGCTGCTCAACAACGTTCTGACCATGGCTTCATCCCACTGTGGTACGTTTTATAAAATCCAGACTTTTCTTTTACATGTTGAAGTTTGTCAAGGATACACGTCTACTTTTACAGGTACGTGGCTTTGTGGCGTTCTGGTGGCGGGAGAACTCTTCCTGTGGAACAAGGACAGAGACCTGTTGAAGACTGTTGGTGCAGTTCCCGAAGTCGTTGACGTTATTGCTTCATCCCAAGGTTTGTTTGCAGTTGCGGTCTATTGAAATGTTATTCACATAATTGGTTTAATTTCCCTCTACAATGTTGCTACTTCTGCCCTATTAGTATTTCATAAAAAAGGATATTGACACCACGATATATCGCGATATTTCGTCTCGCAGTACTCGCAGGAAATGTTAATGTTTAAACAATAAACATACGCTCGTTATAAACAGATTCTCACAAAACCTGCTGCAATTCTTCAGGCCTCCACACGGTGGCGCCAGATGCTATTATGAAAGAGAGGGAGTGAATCCAGAAATCAAAACAAACCAGGCTGAACTAAAACCAGCACTTTCACAGGCTACCACAGGAGGCGCTGTTATGGATCTTTGTTTCCTCTGGGCTTATAATATAAATTTATAAATATATAAATTTAACATAAACTTAATTACCTGCTCAAATCTAGCGAAAAGTAAAAAAATCATTCATTTCTGTTTGTGTGTGTGTTTTTTTTTTTTTGTTTTTTTTTTGCAGGGAACACCGGCCGTTTGTCGGTCCAGGTCTCAGGTGATGCTACACGTCTGCTACTGGTAGCTTCAACAGGACAAGTGTTCCTGTGGGAGTGTGTGGATGTCAGAGATCTAACGGGACTACGTGACGGTACCGTTAAAGGATGCTGGGCACGCATAGAACCTGCAGAGGGCACCATTCTCCCCTCTCTACACGATAAAGAAGCCTCCAGACATACGGTTTTTGTAAAGACTGAGGTCTGTACTCAAAAACAGTTTATAAATGTGTAAAATGTTTTAAAATTATTCATTTTAATTTTTTTTTAATTCTCTTCCAGGCTTTAGGTGATGTCTGTTTGTTAGCACTTGTTTTCGTATCAGGGCAGAAGCTGATTCTCTCCTGTCTGAGGGTTCAGTGGGAGGAGCGTCACATGAGAGTGGGGTGAGTGAACAACTCTGGTTATTTTGCACTGGACTGAACATAAATAAAGTTAAAACAATTTGTTTTTCACAGTTCTGTGGGCTACAGCGCTCAGTGGGCCACCAAAACATTCCCCCTGTCTGACCTCAACCCACCCTGTCGGCCGGTCAAGTCCAGAGGAGCACTGGTTCCAGCCTTCTCTCCTGACGGCCAACTCTTAGCCATTATTCTCAACCAGAAACAGCCAAAGGTCCGTATGATTTTTATTTTTTATTTTTTTTAACAATACTTCCAATTCTTCTGCAGAAATGTGACTTTTTTGACTTCTCTATTTGAACCAGGCCACGCAGGTCCTGTACGTCAGCACACAGAATTTTGTCTCAGTGTCAAGTAGCCTTGGAGGATGTGGAGTCAAGGCGAAGGAGGTTCCCTCCAAATATATCAGGTGCAACATGAAGTATTATTATTATTATTTTTATTATTACAGATGTGTTGAGCACTTTGAACTATTTTCATGTGACCTTTTTCATCTTGCTTTACATATTTTCAAGCCCATATTTACCATTGTTTTGCACAAACTATTTTTCAATAATGATCTTATTCTAAATTTGAAGATTCTCAAACTAATTTAGAACCATTTTGCTCTAATGTAGTCCTGACTAATTTCTCCTTCTCGTATTAACTACTTCTCAGTTTTTTATTATTTTTGTCATTTCCTTGGCATTTTGTCTGGAATTAAATGGCTTTGTTTTAATGATGTTACTTTTACAATTAAAGGAAATATTAAAACTGAAATTTTGATATTTCCCAATATCGCTTCATCCCACTTTACTGGTCACCCACTAAGGGGATCCCGCCCCCCACCTTGGAAACCTCTGCCTTTAAAGAACACACCCAGTTAAAACGCTACAATTATATAAAAAAGGTGTAAATGTATAAGGTCTGAATAAAAAAAAAATACAGCGATGATATCAATAAATATCAGCATCAGCTAAATATCTGCTCAAAACCATCAGTGATAATAGTACTTTGAAGTTGTTGTTAAACTGTACTCCTCCTCTGGTCCAGGTCTTACTGGGTGAGCAGCGTCAGCTGGTCTACCAACAGCCTGTTTTTGGCCTGCGTTCTCAAGAGAGGTTCTCTGCTGATGTTGGCTCGTCTCGGACGTCTCATCACGTTAACCAGTTCAGGCTGCAGTGTGGACTTTGGACCGGCCCAGTTCCTGCCCCTGCATCCTCTCGTCACCTACCGGTAAACATTAAACACCTGTTTTTTTTCTTAATTTTTTTGTTGTTGTTGTTGTCATCTCTTCTACGAGTGTATTTTTGACTCTACACACTTTATTATTTTCCCCAAAAAAATGTGGTCACATTTTATATGTCTTTTCTAAGGAGGTATTTGTGGTTGACTTGTTGTAAATTTTCAGTGGTGATGAGTGTAGTCACTGCCCTCTTGTGGACATAGTTGGTATCGGACATATTTTGGATCCAAAAGTTGTTGAAATATGAGTGGCAGGGTGGGCCAAACTATTGAAAAAAAAAGATAAAAAATCCCGAATACACTGAAATTTATTTTTCAGTTTTATAATGAGTTTTTCACTTCGTTATATTAGTCACAACATGGGTGAAGGATGACTACAGTCAAACTGTCCCCCCCCGCACAGACCCCCGTTTTCTGCAGGAAAAGTCGACGCCTCTCTCTCCAGCTCCAGCTTGTCCGTGCGAGACGTCATGAGGCAGCGATACTCCGTGACCTGGCATCCGCGCCTGTTGTATCTCATCGTGTCCGACGGCTACATGGCCACGGTCATGCGTGTCCTTCACAGACCTTCGCCCGTCACGTTGTTGAAAATGCTGCTGAAGGACACGACCGCAGATCTGGAGAAACTGAGCGAGAAACTTTGTAAATCTCAGGTAGTGAAAAAACAGACACTGAGAGAATTCAGAGGAGGAGTTCGATGCTGGTTTCTATTTTTTTAATTTTTTTTTTATTTATGTGTCCGTTCCTCCAATGTCTCACTCATTTTCAGGTTCAGGTCAGATCCTGGTTGGACTCTGTGTCTTGTCTTAACCTTGAGAGCAGCCTCGAGGCACTGAACTCCACATCACGCCCCAGTAACAGCACCATCTCAGCAGGCACAGATGTGTGCACTTTACCACTCTTTCTGCAGGACCTGGGGGCGTCGGGGGGAACCACGGGGCTTCTCGAAAAAGTGCAAGTGAGTCATGACTTTAGTCTCTCTGTTACTGGACGGTTATTTATTTGTTTACACCAGGGGTGTCAAACCCATATGGGCCACATGCAGATTAGATGTCGGACCAGGACAATTATAACATAATTACCTCTAAATAACAATAAGTCCATGTTTTTCCCCTTTGTTTTCATTATATCAGATAAATATTCATATTCATTGAAACATCATTTGAAAAACTTCACAGATATGAAGCGGTTGTGGAATTTTTTTGTTTTTAAAATTCATCAAGTGGAAACAAAATGAACCGTCTTGCACATTGTTTCCTAAAGACTGGGTCGCCCAAAATGAACCGTCTTGCAAATTGTTTCCTAAAGACTGGGTCGCGATATTCTGTGATTTACGAATAATGTCTATTGACTTGGGTCGCGAAGGTTTGTGACTTTTAAAACATGGGGGCCCAGAAAAAAATTTTGGGAAACACTCGCTTTCGTGGGCCGATTTTGGTCCACGGGCCGTATGTTTGACACCGCTGGTTTACTCTGAGTTGGGATGTTTCACATTTCTTGTGTTTTTTGTGCCGTGTCACAGTCTTTCCTCGAGGACGACTCTGATTTCGATGGCCCTCCTGCTGGTTCTCATGTGGAGGAGGGCGGCCGCTTGGAGTTTGCCTCCATGTTCGACACGCTCCATGCCCAGGACACGAACACGGCTGCTGGACCTGCGACTTGGACTGACGACTCCGTCGAAGAAGAGGGTAAAATCCATCCTTTTCACCGTGACGTTGGAAAGATCCAGAGCCGGTTGCTGACGGTCTGGGCCGTCAGTGTGTCTCTGGGGGGGGCAGTGGAAAACAGAGCTGCTCTGGTCAAACACACGCTCCTCTGCCTGGTACGCGTTGCCGCTCTGGTGCACTTAATCCCGAGCTATATGGTCAGCGCGGGGAGAGCGGCCAAAGTCGCGGCCAAAGTCGCAGCGTCTTCTCACGTTCTTCGTCAGGTCAGAGCCCTCTTGTCGTTCCTTCCCTGGGACAAGACTCGCCGCGACGGTCCCTGCTGCCTGGGCCTGGTGGTGGAGTTCACCGACAGGCTGGTGACGCTGCTGCTGACGCCTTACAACGAGTCCTACCGGTCTGGTCAGTACCAGCCGTCAGCTCAGAGTCTGTCCAGGACGCTGCAGGTTTTACAGCTGGTCTCCTGTGAACTGGACAAAGCCTACGGTCTGCAGCAAAGACACGTGTGGTCCTCAGAAGATCAGAGACCTCTCTGTCAGCCTTCGGATGTTCACCACATTCCTCTGCTGCAGGAGGAGAAGGAAAAGGAAGTTGTTTCTTTGTGTGAGGCTCAGCCTGTCCCTCAGAGACCATCCAGCAGGTGGAGATAATTCTTTTTTTTTTTTTTCACCTACACAGACGTGAAGGTTTGTAGATTATTTTCGTGAATTTCCCGTTCGATGTTTGTGTTCAGGTTGTTTGCAGTGTGGCAGCGGGTGTACGACGTCACGCGGCAGTACCTGGAAAAACTCAGTGTATTTGACGGCTACGACGGCTGGGAGGAGGAGCAGCGACAGTGTGTCTTCATCATGTCTCAGATACAGACAGCTCTGCAGACCACTGGAGAAAGACTGGAAGAAGAACCAGCTCTGTTGAGCTACACTGGTGAGAAAGAGATGGAGGTGATGATGGAGAAAAGTACACAACAGTACACGGGGTCCTCGGTTTACAGCGTCCTCGGTTTACAGCGTCCTCAGTTTACAGCGTCCTCGGTTTACAGCGTCCTTGGTTTATGGTGTTTTAAATCGCCCCAATATTTAGTAACGATGTCTTGTACCATCACTCCGATGTTTGACGTTATATGAAATTTCACATGTGAAGATGATGGCGAACGGAGCGCATGATCACATTGCCTCCTAGTGGTGCTTTATGTGGTGTGGCTTTATGAGGACCCCCTGTACTTTTACGTTTATTCTGTACAAAGAAAGTTTCCAAACGTTCCAAGGAAAATAAAAAAAACCCTAATTGTGAGAATTTGAGATTTATTATTTTGCATTTCTTCCTTTTAAATTTCAAGAATTTTTATTTTTTATCGTCTTATTCCAGGTGAACATCTTTACCTCTGTGGACTGTATCAGCAGAGTGCCGATGTTTGGAAATCACAACTTTGTGACAAGAGTAACAAACGTGAGTTGATGAGTTTTTGTCATTAAAATAAACCACACGTCCAGACGACGACGATGTTAAAACGTCTGTCTTTTTTTATCTGTGATCAGTCTGTGGTCGAAGGGTCTTCCAGGAGACCAGGGCTTGTCTGGCTCTGCTCTACAGCTTTCTGTCTCAGTACCGTCTGAGAGAGGCCCAGGAGTTGGGCGACCACATGGCTGCGCTCTTACTGCACAGGTGTGGACACGTGAAGGACAACGTCCACATGGCAGGTCAGCTCTGATGATTTCAGCAACATTTATTCAGACGTGATGTTGACGTAGAACAACTCTGTGATTGGTCTTTGGTTTTTTTCCAGATTCCTCTCCTTGTTCTTGGCTCCCGTCAGACCTTCACTGTGAAGCAGCCTGTGCTGTGGTCCAGAGTCTGGGGAGATTCATGGCCTCCTACTTCTCCAACCAGGCGCTCCACATCCTCCCACCTCACCATGTTGCTGTTCTGCCTCCGCTACATTTACCTCACGGTAAAAATACATAATCGCAACGACGTTATAGGAGGAGTTTCAAACGTTTGGGCAGCAACTTTTGAGTTCATTCTGTATGTCGTGTGAAGGTATTTGATATTCCTTCTAATAAGAAAACGACAATGTAGTCTCCAAATAGCGGTGCGCGGGCCACTTGCGGACCAGACAAGACCTACAGATAACAGAACAAATGATAAATTTTTGGGGGTTCCCAAACTTTTCCATGCCAGGAGGGAAATGTTGGGAATCATCAAGCTTTAGAATGCGTTTTCTTACTTTTAGTCACTATTCAATAATTATTACATTTATTTATTACAAAAGAAAATTAACAAACATGCACTAGCTAGCTAAAAGCTAGCCTGAGGAGCTAAGCAGCTTGATAACAGGAGCAAACTTCAAGGTCTTGAAAATCCTTGATTATGCTACTTTACGTATTATACGGTTCAGGATAAATGGTTATAAAAAATAAAATACTTCTTTTTTCTCATTTTTAGAGCTTTAAAAAAAACTTTAAAAAAATATTTTAGAGCAAACAGTTTTACTGAATTGCCTGTGAAGATATTTTGTCGTTGATGTGAATTACAGTCTGGGAAAAAATTAAATGTTCAATGTTTTTTAGCTCCAACTATTGGTCGTTTGGTGCCACTGCACCAGCAGGAAGTGGCCTCGGCCGTTCGCCGACATCACCTGTCAGAGGTGTGGACGGTGGACTACGCCCTGGACCTGCTCCTGCTGGGAGGTCTGCTGCCTGAGGCCGTGTGGTTGGCCTCCCATCTCGGAGACTGGAAAACCGCTGTTTCTCTGAGTCTGGCTTTCTCCAGCTGCAGCAGGAGCCACTTGGACTTCTCTAAGTCGGTGAAAAGAAAATCTTTTTTTTTTTTTTATCTCGTCTCTCACCCGGTCTGATTCACTAACACCTTCTCCCTGACAGGCTGAGGAGCAGAGATCTTCACCTCCCTAAAGCTCTGAGAGTCAAGCACATGTTTCAGGCTCAGTTACGGCGTCTGCTGGGAAATAAACTGGACGCCAGAGACCAAAGAGACGAGGACGATGAGAAGAGCCTCTCGGGTGTGTGACATCACAAATGGACCACGACCATGACACATAAATTCATTCTCATCCTCTCTTTTTTTTTTTTGGCTGCTTTTCTTCAGATCCTTTAGACGGACTGGACTGGGATCTGTTGCTGGTTTGCGTTCAGGAGATCCTGAAGGCGTCCGTCATGGCGGCGGTGGATGTCATTACTTCCCCGCTCTCGTCTTTGTTGGACACGGCCAAAGACTTGAGTTGTTGCCTTCCGTTGTTGGTGCCCAGTGGTCTCTATCTGCCCTCCCCACCTCTGTATTGCCCTCAGCCTTCGCCCAATACACAGGTATTTGAACTGAAGAAGATCAACTTTTACCAAAGTTTTCATCTGAATCTGAAACAAACAAAACATTTTATATTAAAAATATAAAAATAAATATATTCTTATATATGTGTGTGTGATGTCAGGACCCGGTGGGGACACCAGGGCACTTGGCTGAGGTCGCAGCCCGACACAAGGTGTCCGGTGTTCTACAAAAGTTACTGTTGTTGCTGAGGTCTGCTCGCTGTTGCCGCCCTGCTGCTCAGTGGTACATCACTCACCTGCGGCGGGCCAGACACGTGCTGTTCAAGGTACGGTACCTGGGTGGTGGTTTTTTTTACTAGGTTTAATAGAATATTACTCTGTAACACATGGGTCTTCACAGGGATTGTTCGCCCTCTAGTGGGTTTGTGAGAGTACTGCAGGAGGTGATCAAGAATTAAAAAAAAATAAAATATGTTTTATTGTGAAATTAGGGTTGTACCGAAATATCGATACTTCCATACAGTATATCATGATACTTCGTCTCGCGGTACGTTATCGATATGCTCGCAGCAAATGTCGATGTTTAAACAATAAAACATACACTCGTTCTGAACAGATTCTATTATTAAAAACTGGTGCGATTTCTAAAGCTTCCACGTGATGGCGCCAGAGTCCACTACGCAAAAAATGGCGTGGGAGTGCAGAAATCATAACCAGGCTAAGTTAGCCGGCATTTCAAGTCGCGCATTATGTGCTGGGACCAAAGTTGTATTACGATACTACGGTTGCGATTGCTTGAAAACTTTGCCGCAGACATTGAAATGGTTTCAGTGCAGTCATTAAATTCTGAACATTCTGACACAGATATCGTGTTAGTATCGTATCGCCAGGTACTCAGCGATACCCATCCCTAATCCTGGGTTAGCTGTGAAGAAAACCCGGTTCTGTGTCATGACCTGGAGAACACAGTAAACCTCATGTTTATCCACACACTAATCTTGTTTCCAGATAAGGAAGAAATATTCGTATCCAGGGGCAGCTGAGGAGGAGGAGCCTTTTCACGAGGGTCTGATGAAGTTTGTCGCCCGACATGGGTTCTTCAGATGGCGGCCGAACAAAGACAGTCGTCTGGACCCTGATGTTGTCAGAACTATCAGTAAGATTGGAGTAAATACACAGGTGTAACACGCAGTAACGACTTCAGTGTAACGGTTTCTCTGTCTCTAGTCTGTTTCAGAGAACTGTGCGCTCTGTGTTGGATGCTCCATGTCCGCGACCAACTCTCCCTCACCTGCAGGAAGTACCAGGCGGCCAGGCAGGTAAGAAGAGACGAGCAGGTCGGTGAAGGTCATGGAGGAGAGGTCATATTTTTAGAGTCGTGTTAACAAACACACACACACGTGTTTTTCTTCTCCAGAACCCCGGTGACTCCGAGGTGACGTCCTGCTGCGCTGAAGCTCTCCGCTGGGCCTGTCGTTTTCTGCCCTTCGCTCGCTTCCTTGACGCTGAAGAAATTCTCCAGGACGTTCTGCTCAGCCTCGTGGCTGAACTGCCTCCGGTGTCTCTGGTACGTTTACCAATTTAAAAAAAAACATACATCATGATTAATAGATTAGCAGATCAATGAAACGGAGTCGGTCGGTTTCTTCTTCGCAGGTGGCAGAGACGTTGGTTCGATGTTTTCCAGAGGAGGGAGAGTCTGTCAGAGTCTCACTGAGGGAGAAGTACAACTCACTCACACAGAGACTGAGGCACAGCACAGTCCTGGGTACGAACCCCGGTACGAACCCTGTTACGAACCCTGGTACTTCATGTTGGTTATCTGTGAACTGTCCTTCCCACAATACACTTTTTACTCTTTAACACTGCAGTTTTTAGTCTAGAATTTTTTGAAGTATAAACACAGAAATCCTTCTGATCAACGTAGACCAAACATCACCTTTTGTTTATGAGAAATGACCTAAAATAACGTATTATTCATTACATTGTTATCAGCGAACTGAATACTCCCAGTCGTTTTTAAATTTTTTTTAAATATTTTTTTGTCTTTGTGTTTATTGTATAAAGTGTAAAAAATAAACTTTTTTTTTTAAATTATCACCAATGTTTTTTTTATCATTGGTGATTGTACAAAATCCCTTCAGATTCTTCAGTCCATGATTCTCTCTCTGTTTCCTGTCCTCAGAAGGAGCGAACGGGGAAAACGAGTCCATGATGGTTCTGGTTCAGGACGAGTACAGACAGAGGAGAAAACATCTGGGGCGTCTGCGGAGGCACCTGGCTCCTCCGCAGCTCCACCTGTGGGAGAAAGAAGATGAAGAAGAAGAACGGAGGGGAGGGGAGAGAGGGTCGGCGGCCATGTTGGGGCAACTCTCACTGGGAACCAGCCTGAGCACCAGCACTTTGAACGACTGTGGGTTTCCTCCCGTGTGCAGTGATGCTGAGAACACATCTGAAGGCGTCTCTCCTGATCAGCAGGGCCGACCCTCGAGCAGGTGAGACGGCGTGGAACTGAACCTCCTCACCGAGTCGTGGACGTCTTTGCTGATGCTTATTTTTCTGCTTTGTGTTTTTTTTTTAGTGAGAAAAACAACCGTAATATCAAACACAAACAGCAGCCTGATGGAATGCAAAGTTCTGCTCAGAAAGACGGTCATCGACCGGACACGGAGGAGAACAAGGAGACGTCCCTGCCTGCGGTCGGCAGCTGGGAGTTCGAGTTGGAGGATGAAGAGTATCTGAACTTCCTGGAGCTCTTCCTCAGCTACGAACTGGAGAAGGACGGTGCGGACGGAGCGGACGGAGCCTCCGAACTCCCTTTGTTGAAGAGCTTCTCCTCCAAGCTGAAGGAGCGGGAGTTGCATTCGCTCACCTTTGACGTGCTCACCACCGTGCACCGCCGTCAAAGAGACGTGCAGCTCACAGGGAGGAGACAGTGGAGCAGTCACCCCCCGGTGTTCAGGGCCGGTCACTGCTACAGGCCGGTTACCTCAGCTGAACCGTCGACTCCTTCCATTTGGAATAAAACCCAGAATCCCAGGATCTCCAGGAGTTTGTCTCTCAGCTCTGTTCCTGGTCAGAAGAACTCCAGACAGGAGGGTCTGTTTGGACTCAGGAGGCAGAACAGTCTGTCGTCAGTCCAGAACACGAGCGCTGGTCACGTAAGCTTCGATACCAGTGCTTTTCCGATTAGCCGACACCCAGAAGGCTTAGGTTTGGGTTCATCGACTTCACCGGAAGCTGTGGTGGAGCTGCAGCAGTGTCTGGACCCCAGGTTAGAAGCTGAGTTTCCAGCCCTGGGCCGACTGTTGGAGTGGATGGTCCGCTGGGCTGACAGGAGAGTTCTGCTGGGACAACATGGGAACAAAGGGAAAGGAGGAGGAGGAGGAGGAGGAGGAGGTCCAGAGAATGAAGGAATAGTGATTCGTGTCAAAGCGTCGGCGCCTGCCATTCTGACCGCCCTCAGCTTGCTGCAGTGGAGATACTCAGTTGTGCCTGGAGGGGGCAGTCACGCCCATGTTCCGTCTGTGCTGCTCACTGAGGTGGACAGGAAGTTAGACCAAGAAAGCAGCGTCGACACGGGCTACCCCGGATCCACCCACACGCCCGTCACTGCTCCGGAGCGCCACCTACAGCAGTTAAAACTCTCCAGGTGAGTCGCTGAGCTCTAACCAATCAGATCAGTCAGTGAAAACTCCAAGTGTTTGTTTGGAACACTCTGTGTTGTGTTGTTTTGACGCTGTGATAATTCACTCCTCTGCTCATCTGCAGCGGTTCCAGCACCGATGAGACGGAGGAACAGGAACAGGAACATCACAGGGTTCCTCTCCACGTCCGGATCCATCGGAGACGTTCACCACAACCACCACCGTCTCAGAGCGACCTGGAAGAGGTCACGGCTGGAGAAGAAGGTTGGTCTCGGAAACTGTTGCTGTGACTCCGGTCGTTGACACTTTGACATGTTGACGATGTGTTTGTCGTTTGTAGAGGAAAGCGCCGACGCCCGAGGACGTTTGGACGTGTCCTCTCCTGATTTGAACCAAAACAACTCTGAAAACATCTGTGCTCCAGATGAGGTGAATATATTATCGTTTCTGTGTCTGTGTGAAGAAATGTAAACTGTGACTTCACAACACCAATAACGGCCGTTCTGTCGTCTGCAGAGTTTAAAAGTTGCAGATCTGGACGCGTCGGACAAACAGCAGCCGTCCATCACCGACTCTTTGTGAGTTTTCAGTATTATTATTTTTTTTGAGTAGATGTAACTGTGTAGAACAGGAGTCATCGTCTTGATTATAGGTCTGTAGATCCACACCTGCCCTAAAGTTTTTTTTTTTTAGTTTTGGTCCGTGTACGTGCCACTGAAATGGACCAGTATACTGTCTTCTGGGATTGTCTTGACCCCCTTTGACCCTGCAAAGGAAAAACATTACATTTATTTGTATTTTATCTGTCTCCCCTCCTAGAAATCTTCAACCTCCTGCTCCTCCTCCTCCTCCTCCTCCTCAACCCAGTCCTCGGGTTATCCCTGCTGCCCAGCCTCAGGTCACTGACTCTGTAGGAGCAGAGTTTCCTCTGACACCTGTAGATCCTCCAGAACTTCACCCTCGGAGTTCCACACCGGCTGCAGCAGCTCCACCCAGTCAGCCACTGAATCAGTCCAGCAACATGAGGCAGCAACTGGGTCAAGACCTCTTCAGACTGGTCCAGGTAAAAGAACCATGTTTTTCACTCGCTGGGTCTGATGTTTTTTTAATAATAATATGATTTACATTCACATGTTTTTACTGTGAACAGGCAGGACAGAAGTCTAATCTGATCTAATCCAATATAATATGATATGATCTAATCTAAATGTATTGTGTAGACTTGATCAGACTAAACTAGTCTAGTCTAATCTAATCTAAATTATAATATCCAGTCTAATATAATATGATCTGGTCCTATGTAATATAATAAAGTCTAATCTTATCAAAACTAGTTCAGTATCATTTAATCTAATCTAGTTTTGTTTAATATAGTCATATTAGGGTTATAATCCAATCTAATCTAATATAATCTGATAGGGTTATAATCCAGTCTAATCTAATATAATCTGATCTAGTCAAATCTAAATTTTTAGTTCTTTCTTTAGTTCAGTTTAATCTAATTAAAGATACTGTAATATAATCCAGTCTAATCTACTATAATCTAGTCTAATCTAATATAGTCCAATCTAGTCTAATCTACTATAATCCAGTCTAATCTTCTCGTCTGACCAACTGTTTTTGCAGAATATCAACTACATGAACATGATGGAGGTTTTGGGGGCTTCGTTTGCCAACCTGCAGCTGGCTCAGCAGAACTCTTTAACTCAGTCCAACATCGTGCCGTCGTTTCATGGACCCAATATCAACGTTGTCCCTCGGCCGAACACCTCACATGTCCAACCCACACAGACATTTACAGCACAAAGTCAAATCACGAGACATGAACCTCCCACGTCCACAGCTGCAGCTGATCATCATCAGGTACTGGACACGTGTATTGTTCTGACGACCTATTTTCTCCTTTGTTTTTTTAATGTTTTTTTTATTCTAATCTTTTTTATTTTTTTTACCTTCTTCTTCAGGAAATGCGTCCTCTCTCTGTCCACGTTGAATCACCAGAAATCCACTTTGGACTGAGCAGGAAGTTGATTCCCTCCTCTCAGGGCCTCCTGACCACGACTGACACCAGGCGGGCTGACGCCCCGGCCCTTGGACCACAGTCCTTCGGCAGTCATGTACAAAATGAAAATGCTGACTCAGTCTTGGGCAAGAAACATCAGCGTCACTGTGCACAGTTGCCTCAACAAATTGCTCCAAAATGTCCTCCGGTCCAAGAGCCCAAGCTGCTGTTCTTAGAAAACTCCAACGTGTCTCAGGAGTCCAAGACCTCGTCCAGGAGAGAAGAAGAAGACAAGAGGAAGACCTGGACGTCGGCTCTGAAGAGACAGCTCAGTTTTGATCTTCCGTTTGATTCAGTTTCCAGAAATCCTCAACATCAACTTCACTCTTCAGAGAAGTCCAGGGGTCAGGAGTTCACGTTGCTTCCTCCAGCTCAAAAACCCGCTGCTCCACCTCAGGGCCTCCAGCTGCTGCGCTTCCAGTCCGTGACGCACGACGACGTCGCCTTCCCTAAAATCCCTGTGTTGTTTTCTTTTAAACCCCCTGCCGTCGTACCGGCGCCGGTGCAGGAAACACCGCTGATCAAACTGTCGTTCAAAGATCCTGGACTCCAAAATGTAAAGAACACTTCTGTTAAAATCAGGTCCGTCTCTAAGTGACATATTACGATAACCTGCATGTATTTGCCTCGGCCACAGATGTTTCCTGTTGCATCTTCATCTTCGATGCCCATGACCCGTCTCATGTCCGTGGACCAGTTGAGGAGTTCGGTGACCAGCAGGCAGAAATCTGGAGACGCTCAGATGCAGCTGCTCAAAGTGGATCCTCCTCCGACTGCACCCGCCACAGACGTAGCTGCTGCCGCTTCGTCTGGTTTTAACTCCAGCAAAAGGCAGCCATGTTTTATTACCTGTTATTTTTTGAGTTTATATATATATATATATACATATATATGTGTATATATATATATATATATATATACATATATGTGTATATATGTGTATATATGTGTATATATATAAATATATGTGTATATATATATATACATATATATGTGCATATATGTATATGTATATATGTGTATATATGTGTATATATATGTGTGTATATATATATATATTTACATATATATATATGTATATATATTAGGGATGTCCGATATTATTGGCCTGATATTTTCCCTCCCATAATGAAAACCCGATAACACAATGCTTTAGTTTCACTAAATGATGTGTGGCAAGAAAATAGTTTTGGGGAAAAATGGCTGTATATGAAAGTCACTAGATGGCAGCATTGAAGCTCATTTTATTAATCTATTTTAATAATCGGGGGTTGTATGTGGAATGCTTGTGTCAGCAACTCAGTTGTTTGTACAGATGTGTATATAGTAAATCTTACCAGGACTATATCGGTATATTTTTATATCGCAATCGGAGCTTATCTGCAAAAAGTTAATGTCAGACATCTCCAATATATGTCTATATGAATGTTGTGTTGGTGGTATAGTGGTTAGCATAGCATATATATGCATATATTTCTTTTAATTACAGCTGGTTGTTTGTGATGTTTACAGGCAGAAGAGAAGAGAAGGGAAGGCGGTGAGCGAGAAAAAAGCTGAGGTCACGTTCAGACCCAATGACTCCATCATCCCCACAGAGGAGGTGAATTTTATTTTATTAAGTATTATTTCTTTTCTTCCAGCTGTTGATGTCAAACCCGTCTTGTTTGTTTCTAATGCCTTTCAGGTCAAAGAAGAAGAATCTGTCAACGGTGTGAAAGTGGAGTCTGCAGCTGCACAGGAAGTCGTCCAGGGAATCAACTTTGCATTTCCTCTGGGTGAGTGTTCACTGTGACGCCTGGATTATACACCAGGTGGAAGTGGTGGTGTCTGAGGAAGCGGACTTGAGTCTGGAAGGTTGCAGGTTTGAATCCACCAGACACCGAGGTGCCACTGACCACGAGGTCACGTTTGTTGTGTGCTGTGTCACTAGGACAATAAATCACTTTATTTCACCTTTTTTTTTGTCTTTCCGTCTGAAGGCTCCTTTGACTACTTACTCTCTGGTCAGAGTTTGTCGGACGCAGCGCTGCCCACGTCAGCCGAGCTCCACGCGTTTGCTGCGACACGTAAAACTCCCACTGAGTGTCAGGACGCGTTCACCAACACAGACTCAGGTGACTCAAATATTGTTCATTGCTGTGTAATAAAACAAAAACGTTTAATTTCTCAGGTTAAGAAACTCTGCTGCATGGACTTTACTGAATGATTTTTAAGCTCCGGGCCACAAGAAATGGCATGGCGGGCCGCATTTGGCCCCCGGGCCTTCAGTTTGACACGTGTCCTAGTATATAAATTATCATATGGCTAATTTGTTGAATATTTTGAAGAGTTTGGTAAAAAAAAAAAAAATTAAGACCTTTGACCTTTTTCAGGTTGCCCCCCAACACTTCAGGACAAAAGTGTTTCTACCTCACTGACCTTCATCAGCCCTGAGGGTAAGTTTGTTTTAAATAAAAAAAGAAAACACAAACCCTGAAGACTTCTGTAGGTCAACCATTCAACTGTTTTTTTCCTTCTCTCAGCTCCAACGACACAGGAAGTCCTGAAGGTCCGCGATGGAAACGTTACTGAAGACGCACGAGAAGGAGACGAGACATTTCTGGTGAGACACTCTTCCCTGGATTTTTAAATTTATTTTTTATCAAACTTCATCTTTGTCACTGCTGCGATATCTATTTTTTTAGAGGAGTAAATGTCTTCTATAGGAAGAGGTCACAGGTGTGTGTCAAACCCCTGGCTCGGGGGCCACATCCTGTCTGTGAAACCCCCACATCTGGCTCTTCACTAGATGTCAATAATAATTACATTTTTTTACCTTTTAGGTAATTAAAACATTTATCAATATTTATATTTTTAGTACTAATATGCTCAAGCTAGTGATTTAAAAAAGACAAAAAAAAGTTTGTTTTTATATTGAACAGCAAACACCGGTGTGGCCCCCAGTTAAATGATGGAGCCAGCAGGGGGCGCTCAGCTGATTTGTATTTGAAACCCCTGCTTTAATACATGCATAAAATGCACATAATTCAGTTCTCTCTTTCTTCCTTTTGTTTTTTTTGTTTTTTCAGGACACGCGTTGTTATCGTTTGATAAGAATTGAGGATTTGGAGGACGCAGCTCGGCACCAGGATCTGCCGTCACGCCTCGGCCCAGAAACACAGCACGTCTCCTCCGTCCAATCGTCTGCTTCTGCTTCAGCTAACGTTCACATCCTGGAAACTCCTGTGATTGAGGCTGTGGCTGCTGTCGCTGCTGCACCTGCTGCTGCTCCTGGTGGTGGTGTTGGTTCACTACAGTCGGAGGCTGGTGCAGAAACTCCTCTTCTGACCACGAGTCACCGAGGTCTCAGTGTTTTTATTGTCATATTTAGAGAAATCAGACGTCTTGTTGCTAAAATTGGTTTGAATTAGGGACGTCCGATAATATCGGCCTGATATTAGCATAATTGTGTATTATCTGTAAGAATCGTTATCAGTTTATATAATGAAAACTCGATAACCCAATGCCTGGGTTTCGCCAAACGACATGTGACCTAAAAATAGTTTGGGGGAAAAATGGCTGTATATGGAAGTGAAAGTCACTAGATGGCAGCATTGCAGCTAATTTTATTAATCTATTTTAATAATCAGGGGATTGTATGCAGAATGCCACTGTCCCGCTATATCGGTATCAGTTGATATCAGAATCGGAAATTAAATGTTTGGACAATAACAGCATATCGGATATGATCAAAAATTTAATATCGGTCATCCCCAGTTTTGATTTTTGTCAACTTGGTTTTTTTTTTGTTTTTTTTCAGGTGAAGATTCAAACATGAACCGTCACCTCCAGTCCAGCACTGACTTCACCCGAGCTGTAACTGGGAGGAGCTACATATAAGGTATACTTTTAACCCTCTTAAGTTGCTGCCTCCTCCAATAGGTGGTGCTGTCATGGCAGTTCACCCCGAAATTTATTTTGTGCTTGTTATGTCTGTATATATATGTAAATATATATATGTATGTACATACTGTATGAGTATATATGTATATGTATATATTTATATATGTATATATGTATATGTACAGTATATGTATATATATGTATATATGTATATGTATATATGTATATGTCTATATATGTGTATATATGTATATATTTATATGTATATGTGTATATGTATATACATATTTGTGTATATATATGTATATACATATATATTCATATATATGTATATGCAACATATATATATATATATAGTAGGGTGTGTGCACATAGAGAGAGAGAGAACTATGCAATATCTCAGTGCCGTGGTAACAGTAACCATCCGACTGTTGAAACTCTGTCCAGTCACATGTCTCTCTGTCCAGCTGGTGAACACCATCGAAAACCTGTGTCCAGTCACGGCTCCTGATGTGAAGAGAAACGTCCGACTGTCTGTTCCACAGGAAGGTCTGCCTCCAGAAATAAAACCTCTGGATTCATACCAACCTTTGAAAGTGAACCTTTAAAACCAAACTTCCTTCCGTGTGTAACAGCGTTGATGCGTCCGTCCAACACGTTAGAAGACGAGAAGGAAAATCGGGGGAACAAACCTGGACTCCTTGGTGACCCACGAACTCCTCAGGAGAAGTCTCAGTTTCTCCGATGTTCTTCTCCCTACAGTTGTAGAGCGGGGCCATCCCACCTCCACAGCCCCCCCACCAAAGGTATGTACAGAGTAAAAAAGGCCAGTCTTTTCTGTTTGACAGGAAGTCTTTTATAGCAGGGGTTCTCAAACCCCGGTCAGGGGCCCCTAGACTTCAACGTCATAGTCTGTTGTGGGAAAAAAAAACCCAAAAAAAAAACAAAACAAATAAATATAAAGAACATAAAAGTAGATGTCACTGTAAAGCTGGTTTGACCTTTGACCTTTTGACTTTGACCTGACCCAGGATTTTTGGCCCTAAATTCTATAAAGAAGGGACGTTTTGATTAAACTGAAATCCAGACAGAATTGATACTACTACATACTCTAAATCGATGTTTTCCAAAGACTGGGTCGTGACCCTCAGGTGGGTCGCAAGAGGGTTTTTTTTGGGTCGTCTCGCATCATGTTTCCCAGAAGTTTACGAATAATGTCAATTGACTTGGGTCGCGAAGGTTTGTGACTTTTAAAATATGGGTCCCGAGAGGTGTTGTCAAACATAAGGTTCATCATGGACGATGAAATTTTCCAAAGACTTTTATTCTGAATGTCAATTAACCCAACAAGCAGTGTTTATAAGAGGGAAAGAAATTTTTATTTGAAGATGAAAATATTTTTGGTTCTCGTTTTATTAACTGTTTTGTCACTGTTTTGTTTTGTCGTTTTTTGTTTTTTTTTTTACAGAAAGAGATTATCTGACTGAAGTTTCTGGAATATCTCTGGGGTAAGATTATAGTATGAATTCAAGTGTTGCAGCTGTTCAGTCTTCCAGAACTTTATTCTGTGACTCTGCTCTGTAGAAGTGAGGATGAACATCTGGCTCCGAGCGGTCTCTCGGACACAGCAGAACTGTTAGAAAAGCTGGTTGATGAAGGTTATTTATCGCCCTCTGACCTGGACTGGTCCAATTTACAGACCCACAGCAGGTACGGTACGGTACGGTACACTTAAAAAATATATATATATTTCATTAATTCATTGTGTGGCGCTGTCACACTCACTGTCCCTCGCTAGGTTATTTTACCCATTTTTAAAACAATAATATAAAACGTTTTCTTAATTATTATTATTTTATATTATCATTATATTTGCAATAAATATATGTTTTTGATGTTTAAATGGGTTGTTAATTTAATTAATAGTATATTTCTGGAAGGTTGGAATGAATGAATTGGTTTTTAGTTATTTTTAGAGGGCGAAATGCAATCGAGATACGGGTGCTATATATGTATATATGTACATATATGTATATATGTGTATATGTATATATGTATGTATGTATGTATATATATATTTATCCCACTTAAATATAATTTATATTATATATGTAATAATATACAGTATATATGTATATTATTCATAAGATGATTTTTTTTTTTAGACTGCATCAGAGTCAAAGAAATAACAGGTCACAGAAGAATGTCCGCACCGAGGACGAACGGCGGGAACTGAGGATCTGGATGAGGAGGAAGCAGAGGGAAAGACTGGCCGTGTATCAGAAACACAGAGAGAGTCTGAGAGAGAGGGAGAAAAAACCTTTCTGTCCCTCTGGAAAAGCAGTGAGTTACGATCGGTACCACTGATATTTCTTCTGTTCTCGATTCTTCTGAACTCAAACTGAACTCTGCCTTTTGTGCAGCCGTCCGCCGGCAGACCTCGAGCCTCAGGTTTGGGAGGAAAAAAAGAGAGAGAAATGTGAGTAGCTGTTCTCATCACGTACACGGTACACAGGCACAGTATGACAGGTATTTCACGTTGGTTTTCATAGAGCTGCACTACTGAAGCAACACAAGCAGAGGGCGCTGGAAGCCTGTTCTCTGGTCGGCAGCTTCTCCACTCCTCCACCAGATACTTTGTCTCTGCCTTTGGAAAACACGTACAGGTAGAGTAACATGTCCTGACGCTCTGATCACATTAATGTAGCATTAGAAAAAAATATTTACTGTCACACAGTTTCATTTTAAACATTTAAATAAAATGACCCTAAAAAATAAATATGTAAAGGAAGAAATACATAGTCATATGTTATTGAAATTAAATAAATTAATAAAAAAAACAGTGTAGAGCACATATGTCAAACTCAAGGCCTGTGGATCGAATGCAGCCCACCACATCATTTTATGTGGCCCACCAGAGCCTATTGTGTGTATGGCTGTCTTTAATTAATTAAAACTAATCTTCATCTTGAAGAGTCTGTAATTGACAAAGACTATGTCTGAATGGCTTAAATTCACAGTTTTTTCTTGGTTGTCTCTGCTGAAGTCGGCTTCATTTTGGTAATGCTTCTGTCAGAGATGCCCAGTATTTTACTCATCAATGTATGGTCTGTGGGAAAAAAAATATTATATAAAAATATAAAACAATTTATTTATATTATGAGCATGTTGTATCGACTGCATCACATTATTTCCAAAATGAAACCGACTTCAACAGAGAAGTGAGTTTACATTTTTGGTTTTAGTTTTCAGATTTTTATTTGTCTAGCTAGGTTTACTAAATTGTATTAATTAACAATTTTTTGTTTTTTTTTCAGCATTTACAGAACACCAGCCAGTGACAAAAGAGTTCTGAAGTCCAACCTGGGACAAACTCTAACCATGGAGCACGGCAGGAGAACCGAACCTCACAGACCGGGTACGAAACAGATCTGTGGACGCATAAAAAACACTGAACAATTGTTCATGTTTTGTTTTTGTTTTTTTTTACCAGTGACGTCTTCACCAAAGACCCACGTGTTGACAACACGCCAAAGTCAGGAACGTCATGACAGCTACCAGATGAGGAGCGGAGGAAGAGGAGTTCAGAGGACGGAGTACGGAGACGAGGTGAAACGTTTGGAGCCCATCTCTGAAGTGAACAGTCTGGTGGACCAGGAGGAGCCGGAGTTTAACCTGGTACGTACCATATATCTGTACTGTAGTATCGTCTCTGTCAGAGAGAAATGTTCTTTCAGACATCATTTCTCTGAACACGTGCAGGATGGTGCTCCACACATCGGTGGATCTGGGATGGATTGGCTGGAGAACCTCTCCCAGAACACGGGCAGCACGCTGAGCAAAATCGACTGGGCTGCAGTGGAGAGAATGGTGGCAGCAGTGGAAGATTGAAGCCAAAAACAAAACCAAAACAGTGCCTTGTTGACAATAAATGAACTGATTGAGATATTAGTGCCTAAAAACTGTAAATCAGTAGAGATATGAGATATCTCAAAGCAGGTCTACAATAGACTGAACATGTGCTAATCCTTTAGATGTTTTACACCTTTTGTTAAGTTATAGCTTTGATTCTTTTCCACTTGTTTATCTGTATATATAATGTATTTTGTACAGATTTCTATTGCTCCAATAAACCATTGTTGATATACTAGTAGTTTTTCTTTCACATTACACATCACCATGTACATGTTTATTGGTAAATTATGTCCAGTTTTACAACTGAGACCTGGTATTGCACCTATTCTGCTTTGTGTATTTTATTACCAATAGCCATTTCTTAATTGTTTTAAAATATAAAATATTATCATATTATTCATCTTTCCTTCTCTGTAAAACTGTTAAACTTGTTCGTTACAAGTTAAAAATGCTAAAATGTGTCGGTAAAATGCTGAAAACATCTTCCTAGAAACAAGAATCACTGGTACAGTATTACAAAAACACAGCGTCATACTCACCGAGGGCGGCGCTGTGACCAAACGACCAAAGACATAAAAAAAAAGAACTTCCTGAAGTGAAAGGTCACGCTAACGTTTTTAAAAACATGGATCCGAACAGAGGTAAGAACTTTAATGTTCTGTTGTTTTATCTGTTGATTTTTTATAACCAGAATTCTTGCGATTGTGCAACGAGACAAGTTTGTTTTATTTATGACAATGACATATTTGTGTACCATAAACCAGTATTTAAACATTAACCGGGATCGTTGCTGTTTCGTTTAGCTAATTTATTAGCAGTGTTGTGCTAACCAACACAAGTACTTATCATGGATTTACGATGTAGTTAAATGTTGTTTAATGCAACCGCTTCGCATACAATATATTTTATTAGGTGAAAACCTACTTTGGGACAAATATTACAACAGACTAGTATCGTTTTAATCGAGTGGCAGTATTTGTAAATAAAAGTTATTTTCGGGCTTGTAGTTAAATGTGGTGCTTGTTTCTATTGTCTATTATTTTAAAGATCATGTCTTTGAAAAATATTTATCAAAAATTCTAACGTCCTTTTTGCAGGAGACAAAACGAATCGTGATGGAGACATTTCTTCAGTCATGGGATTTTCGGGGTTTGGTATGTGAAGATGAATATTTTAACACAATTGTTTGTAACATTTCACAGTCGTAGCAGTACATGTCATATAATTATAATATTGTTCCTACCAGGGAAGAAAGCCCGCACGTTTGACCTGGATGCAATCTTTGAACAGACGAGACGAACAGCCATCGAAAGGAGTCAGCGTGCACTGGGTGAGTCCTTCAAACTGCGAGATGTCATTAGTTACTTTTACTTAATCAGCTGTAACATTTAATTTAATGTCTGTTTATTGAACAAATATTTTATTTCTTAGAGGACAGACAGAAGGAGTTTGAGATGAAAGAAGTGGGAGAAAGTTCTACGTCTGTGAAGGCACCAGTCAACACACACAAGGAAAAAGCTGCTGCTTCCAGGTTAGTGGTTGTTTCAGTCAACTGAGAATCCTCTTATTGGAATAAACATGACTTAACTGACATAATAATTTAACTGTCAGTGTCTTAGTGATTCAGTCATTTCCAAAATGTTTTTGTCCAGAAAACAGGAGAGCGACAGCAGCAGTGACGACAGCTCAGACTCGGACTCGGAGCCTATTGGACCTCCTCTTCCTCCTCAAAACACAACACAGAATAATGATGATGAAGATGATGATGATCTTGTGGGGCCGCCTCTTCCACCAGGTTACACTGGCAGCATGGCTCAGAGTGATGATGATGATGATGATCAGGAAGACGACGATGATGATGACGTATGTAATGGCATCAGAACTAAACCTGTGAATTGTATTTATTTAAATATTTCTTTATTTTTTTTCTCTGCTGTGAAAATATTAAATTACTGCACGTGGAGTAATGCTTTTACAATTCTGCCACTAGATGGCAGCAAAGAAAATGCATTTTAAGGCTTTGTTACTTTTGTTTCTAACACTTTCTAACAGAAAAGTTTATTTATATAACATTTCATCTTTACCACCTGTTTTTTTTTATCAATTTCCTTATACAGATGAACATTATTTTAAAAATATTGAAGTTCTTTGGTTCATAATTCACACTGGTGTGTTTTTTATGCTAATTTGTTGACAAGTATTCTTCGGCCGTATGTTTAAGCAAAGCAACGTATACAATCAGTATGTCGGAGTATGTATGTGGTATTATTAGTATAAAACTGAGCTCATCTTTTTGGCTCCAGAATCCAGTGAAGAAGATTCCAGACTCCCATGAGATCACGCTGCAGCACGGAACCAAGACGGTGAGAACATGTTCCTCCTAAATCATCTCCAGTGGAAATGTATTCAGTGTATTCATGTTTGGGATGGGAGTGGGGGTGTGGGGGCAGGGGTCAGACTTACTGACATTTCTACTATTTCATATCTGTGTAACAGCTTAACCAATTACATCACCACACGATGTGATTGGTCCTGTAACTATGACCAGTCTGACTTCCTGTGTTGGTTTTTCTCTGGACATAAAACATCTGCTGTGCGTCTGGTGGAAGAAACGCTTCTGCTGCTTCTTCTGGTCTTTTCTTTTAATGTTTGTCTTATAGATCATTGTTCTGGTGTGCGAGTGTGACAATTTTAAAAATGTCGTTGGGGCGCTGACGTACGTTTCCGCCGTTGGTTCGCTTTATGAATACTCCACAACACCTGAGCTTATTTGTATTTTTTTTAAATCCCAGTGTTTCGTTAACTGTGTTGTCAGGTGTCGGCGCTCGCCTTGGACCCGTCGGGAGCCCGTCTGGTGACGGGTGGATACGATTACGACGTACGTTTCTGGGACTTTGCCGGCATGGACCAGGCTCTGCAGGCCTTCAGGACGCTGCAGCCCTGTGAGTGGTGAGTCACCTTCTGAGAACACATCGTCAAACATCAACACACTCGCCTGAAACATGTGGCTAATTAGCTTCATGCAAACATTCACTACACTCAGTGTGCCGAAGTGTACACACACACACACAAACTCACACGAACACACATTTGTTGAGCTTCATTGAGCCTCATGCTAACTCTGTGGCATCCGTCCTTTTCCTTCAAAACCAGCAGATGGTTGAAGTGTGTGGGTGTTTGTGCGTCTGTGTGTTTATCCTGTGATTCACCGAAGCCGAATCATCAAAGTTTTTGGTTACTTTTAGTTTCGGGGAATTGCAGGACGGAGCTGCAGCAGGATTCCCCTTATTAAGAAAAAAAAAACCTATGCTACATTTAACCTGATTACAGTGTGATTCAATTTCCTGTTGAACTACTGAACAAACTGGGCTTCATATAGAAATGTAGCAGGGCAGTGGTTAAGTGCAGCCCCTAGGGGACAGAAGCCCCCTAGGGGACAGACGTTTTATCACCCCCACCCCAAGTTTAAATGCTATTAATGGTCTGCAAATATTTATTTATTTATCTGTTTGATCTGTATGAGTTACTGTCACCAGCATTCTGCACCAAATCCCCTGATTATTAAAATAATTATTAAAATGAGCTGCAATGCTGCCATCTAGAGACTTTCACTCTAATACACAGCCGTTTTTCCCCAAAACTATTTTAAGGGCGAAAATGCAAGCATTGCGTTATCGGGTTTTTTATTATCAGAGGTTAAACTAATAACGATAATAAAAATATATTTATATAATTATGCTAATATTGGTCCGATAATATCGGTGGACATTATCGCACATCAGACAGTTTTAATGTGATCCTGAAATCGTGAGCTCAGATTTGCAGCTCTTTAACGACGCAGGAACCTGTCAGTTAAAGTTTATATTACTTTAATTTAATTTTAATCTGTGTTTGTCGACGATACTCATTTTTGTGTCGTTGGACCCACACTGTTTGACAGTCTTTGTCCCGTGTTTATATTCTCTGTTGATTGTTGACGTGGAAACAACGTCTCATGTTACCTGTCTCGAACCGAACAAACATTTTTAACAGGTTTATCAGATACTGACGTTTGTGGTTCACGTGCCTGTGTCAGAAATGTTTGTTTATTTGTGTTTACAAGACAGTATGTTGTGTTTATGTCTTGGCTTTAGAATCCTACTCCACATGTGTTTGTCTGATCATCGTCATCAGATGAACCTCAGATGTTGTGGAGTCAAAAAGTTCCAAGACAGAAACGTATCGTTTTAAAATGTGTTAATAACTCAAACCTGTACAGGTTTTTTTGTTTTTTTTGGGGGGGGAAGTAAAACAATGAGAGATTGTTAAATTATTGAGGCTTTTTAACAGGTGTAGTTTGAGCTCCATCTAATGTTTTGTTGCAGCGACACCTATTGACTGATATTCAAAAACATCCAAACCTCCTCAGATGTGACCCTCACGTGTGTTTCCCCTCCAGTCACCAGATCAAGACTCTGCAGTACAGCAACACCGGTGATGTCATCCTGGTCATTTCCGGAAACGCACAGGCCAAAGTGTTGGACCGCGACGGCTTCAATGTGATGGAGTGTGTGAAGGGAGACCAGTACATCGTGGACATGGCCAACACCAAGGTGTGTACTGGATGAGGGCAGAACATTTAGCGTTTATTGTGGAGAACAGGGTTATTAAAACCTTAAAAAAACATCTTGAAAATGTTGAGTGACTTTATAGATCGAATCGGACGTTTTCCTAATTTTTCACAGATTTCATTCAGACCAGAACACGTCTGCTCTTCGTCAAGGAGCAACAATAGCCGTCTAAATATTTTAGTTATAATTTCATCCTCTCAGTGATCCAGCTGTTTTGTCCATTGTTTCCATTGATTATTGTGAGGTGGCACTCACCACCGTGTCACCACTGTAACAGCAGCAGGAACTGTTAACGACTGTCGAAATTCCGATGTAAACTGAGGTCAGTTTTCTGTTCCGTCCAAACCAGGGTTTGTTTAATAAACCGATACCGTCTGCCCGCTCCAAAAACACTGACCGCAGATATAAAAATAGGATCAGACCCGTAATAAACTGTGAAGAATCTCTGAACTGTTGTTGTTTTGTGGAGGAATTCACCGAAGAGCCGGTGTTTACTCCACACACAGACGGGACGCCCCGCTCCACTGCCCCCTGGGGGTTCCCTGCCAACAAGTAATGACAGCAAGGTGGCGTTTAAAGCCTGTGTGTGTGTGTGTGTGTGTGTGTGTGTGAGAGCGGTCATGGTTGACCTCCGGCCTCCACCTGCATCTGCAGAGAAATGGTCTCCACGTTTGGTTCGGTGTGGTGCAGTTCAGAGAACTCCCCCCGGTGGTCAGCGAGCAGCTGCGCTGCGTTTAGACACGGTTCACGCCACCCATACGACTCACTCTGTCCAGCCACGGCCCACTGAGTCTTTTTCCTGGGTGTCCTGAATTCCTGCCCTCGCTCGTTTCCATGCGGAGCGGTCGGAAGCGTTCGCTTCACTTGGAACGCGTCGCGGCCCGTTGACGACGTCCCAGTCGATTAGTGGTGTTTCATGTGATAATTGCGTCCTTGCCTCTGCTCTGCTGACAGACAATTACTTCGCCTGCAGCTCATCACACCACGTGTGTGTGTGTGTGTGCGGAGGGACTTGTCGCACACACAGGATGTGATAACTGTTGATGTAAAACAAACAAACAAACCAAAAACCCAACGCTGCTGTTCCTTTTCACCGTCTTCCGTTTCTGTTAGATCATTTATAAAAGTCATTTTTTTTAGTGAATCAAACTTTGAATTTTCTCTTCCTTCTGTTTTTCCGCAGCAGAATGTTGTCTTTTTTTTTTTTTTTTTTTCAGACCTGGCAGAAGGCCCAGAACATTTTTAGCAGCTCACACAGTTACAGTCTTATCATAATAACAGTTGATTTACTTCAACACCAGGTCAAGTCGTTAGTTTTTAAGTTTTTTTTTTTTTTTGTAGATTAGTAATGCTGATTATTATGGAGTTAATTAATTAATAAGTTTTAGTGTTTGGTCATCACCCCTACAGGACAGGAGTTGAACCAGCAATCCTCCGATTACAATCCTATTATACATTGTTCACATTAAATGAATAAAATTGCCTCCAAAGCTGATTTTTCTCAGTAAACAAAAAAAAACATATAATGATAAATTAACATTTGTTTGCTGAGCTTTGTCCTCGCTGCAATGGCTCTACGCTCCCTATGAGGGCCACACCCCCCACTTTGGGAACCACTACTTTAGGGCAAGTCAAATAAATGGAGAAAATGTTAGTAATGTGACGACTACACATAAGTATTACAATTATTATGTTCTACTTTTTAAACCTTTGTCCCAGTTTTTGAAAGGAGTTTGTTTTTGTCTGAATCTCAGTTGGGTTTTTGAATGAGTTTGTTTTTGTTTTTTGAATCCCAGTTGGGTTTTTTTTTTTTGTGGGAATGCTCCTTTAATCCAGACTCTCAGCTCTCACAGATAAGTGGTCGTGTATTTGACAATAAAATTTAACAACCGGCAGTTTGGTGTTATTCCTCCTCAGCTCTGACAGAACCAGTTCTCCTCTGCCGGTTTACGCCGTGTTTGACGTGCGTGACGTTGGACAGACGGGTCGCTCTTCCTGATGCGCACACACTGGTGTCGTTCGGTCGAGCGGAGCTAATGCGCGCCCTGTCAAATAGCAGTACGTCATGTGTGGAGCCTCTTCACCTTCTGAAGTGTTCCTCACTGACCTGGCACTGACCGCAGGCCTCGTGTTGAGCCGCTCCACTCTGAAGTCACTGGTTCTGGAGTCGTTCTCCACGGGCTCCAAACTCACTCCAGCGCCATTTGAAGCCGGAACTTAGTTTGTACGCACGGACCAGAAAGGGGTCAAGGTTATGAAAATGATGAAGCCGTTGAATAATTCCCATTCAGAAGTGGAAAAATAATTTATATTTTGTGGATTCGGCCTCACAGTTGTGCCATTAAAACACTTTTTTGTACAGGAGCCTCCAGGCTTCACAGCAGCAGCGCTGGCTGCAGCCACCAGTCGTTGGACGCCTGAAGACTGTCAGAACCTTGAACGGACTTTTTCCCACTTTGTCTTATTCTGTTTTTTTCTTCTCCTGTCAGGGTCACACGGCGATGCTCAACAGCGGCTGCTGGCATCCCAAGATGAAGGAGGAATTCATGACCTGCTCCAACGATGGGTGAGTTACAGGAGAGAGCGCCGTCTCACTCTGTGGGTCTCGCCGTTAACAACTGTCTTTGAGGTGATAAAAAAAAAAAAAAAACTCTGATGGTGATAAAAGAAGGAGCTGTGTGTCTGTAGTCTCATATCATAAATCTTAGAGCAAAGAGTTTGGACTAAATTGAATACAGGAAGTAAGGGGTTATTAAAACTAACTGCACAAATCACATCTAGAGAGGGCAAAAAAAAAAAGGAAACCATAAAAATGACTTTCATAGTTATGTTTTCACTTGGCTTCACTTCCTTTAACCCCTAAGTGTCTAAAAAGATTGATACGTCGCTGTTTGATACACAAAAAGGTAACTGGAGGAGTTTTATTTTTAAAACCTAGTTCATCACATTATAATCATGCTTTCATTATATGTTAATATTGGCACAGGTACATTGATAACTGGTATAGTCAGTGTGACACTGTCAAAAAGAGAACCCACATTTTACCACCTTTAAATTTTTATCTTTCGTTTGTGTGTATATTTATTTAATGTAAAAAAAAAAACAATGAAACTATGGTGTCGTTTCCTGCATACGTGGATGTCTATATATGTATACGTATATATATACATATATATACACATACATATATATATATACATATATATACATACATATATATACATACATATATATACATATATATACATACATATATATACATATACATATATATACACATACATATATATATATGTATGTGTATATATATGTATATATGTATATATATGTATGTATATATATGTATATATATGTGTATATGTATATGTATGTGTATATATATGTGTATATGTATATATATGTGTATATGTATATGTATGTGTATATATATGTATATATATGTATATGTATATATATACATATATACATATATATACACATATATACACATATATATACACATACATATATATATATATATGTGTATATATATATGTACTGGCCTTTATCTGTTTGCAGTAGTCAGTACTTGGCCAATATGTAGTGTTATGCGTGGTCAACAGTAATACTACACTAGGTGTATTTGGTATATATTTGGTTGTATTTGTACTATAAAGTGGGCCACTAAGAGTTGCTTTTGAGTTTGTTCTATT